GAGCAAGGATAATCTCGGCAGAGATAATTTAAATGTTGCTGATAAAGTGAGCATTATCATGTACACCAGCATTTACAACAAAAGAAAAAAACACAGGCAGCAACAAGGTTACAAATGATGAATGATCAAATTAAAATGAACAAATGGCTACCATTCACCTAGACATCTGGTGGTGAGTCTGTCTGTCAAAAAGTGGTATGTTCACCATTTGAAGGGATATAAATCCACTTTAGGACAGAATAAATTTCTAGCCAACTTAAATGCCATGGTTGTATTACTAGAAGTGTTGGGAAAGACCTGAGGGAGGGATGGGCAAGGAGAGGGAGAAAGCCGATTAAAATGCAGCTCAGTATGAGAGAGACAGATGTCTGTGGCTTTATTTCTCTAATCTATTAAAGCAGAAATCGATCACTAACAAGCACCTCAGTGTGTACTAACATGTATTCTGCACAGCTGAGTTTGGTATTTGCTGGACAAGAGACAGAGACTGGAAACATTTACATTTGATTTTCTGAAAAGGCAACTTTCAAAATTTTAAATGTTGTTATCGTATTTATGAGCCAGACAAAAGCCATTTTATAACAGCTGAGCCGATTACAAAAATGCTTTCTAAGATCATTTCATACATGCATATATAAGTTCTATTTTAAGAAAGATATTTTAGTCATAGTCATATTCAAGATAAATTGAGATCAAAGATTTCATCAGGAAGTCATGATTCCTTACACAGGACAGAGTAAAAGAGTACATGTAAGTCACCTAGTAAAGCTTCTCAGTAGTAACTATAACCACAAAGTACAAAATGTGGATATAATGTTCTGAAAAATCCCTAAGGAGCCATTCTAATTTCCAAATGAATTCTTTACCCCAGAACTTTCACTGACTGGTAAACTAACTGTCATCTAAAAGACATCTTCCCATCTTAGGGTTTTGTTAAGCTTAGGATATTAAACCATTTGGAAGAACCTGATGACAAGTTTTTACTAAGTCACATGTGAGGATTGTTTCGACATTCGAAAGTCAAGACATTAGAAGAATGCTATTAATTGTGGAGCGTGTGCATATTGGGCATGTGCACACATATGTAGGTGAACATGGATGTTTGTGTGTGTAGGGACTATGAGTCAACTCTGGTGCCTTCCTCCATCACTCTCCTTATGTTCTGAGACAAGGTCTCTTACTGAACGTGGATCTCAGCAATTAGGCAAGACTAGCTGGCCAGCGAGCCCCAGGAATCCTCCTGTCCCTATCTCTCTAGTACAGATTAAAATGCAGTTCAGCATGCACCACCATGCCTGAATCTGAGCTTTGGAACTCGGGCCCTCATGCATGTGTAGCAAGCACTTTCTTGGCCAAACTATCTTCTCAACCCTGAATAATATCATTTTTTTGTTTGTTTTTGGTTTTTCGAGACAGGGTTTCTCTGTGTAGCCTTGGCTGTCCTGGACTTGCTTTGTAGGCCAGGCTGGCCTCAAATTCACAGAGATCCACCTGTCTCTGTCTCCCTGAGTGCTGGGATTACAGGTGTGTGCCACCACACCCGGCTAATAATCCCCATTCTTAAACAGTAGTAGCTATTTAAAATTGACCCAGAAGAAAAGTATTTCCTTTTCTAGGACAACTTTAGAAAAAAAAAAAAAAAAACTGAGATATCAAAGAGCAAAAAGGCCTATTTACTTTTCAGTATAACAGACTGGAAAGTCAAAGGTGAACAATTTAACATTCTTTTTGATAATGGAACTATTATATACTCATTTACATTTTCTACTTTGTAAAGTCAAAACCAACCAACCAACAAATAAATGCTTTTAAAAATACATGTCCTTGAGGTAAGGAGATGGACCAGTGGGTAAAAACATTTGTTGCACAAGCATGAAGATCTGAGTTCAAGCCCCTAGAACTCACATAAAAATCTGGGTACAGTAGTGTATATGCCTGCAACTTCAGCATAGTAATAGGGCCAGAGACAGGAGGATTACTGGGGCTTGCTGGCCAGCAGCCTAGCTCCAGGTTCAGGGTGAGTCCACTGTCTCAAGGACATTAGGTAGGGAGTGACAGAGCAGGATACCTGGTATTCTCCCAATCAAGGAGAAGGAGGTCTAAACAAGTTTTAAAAGGGGGATGGGGGAGGAAGATGTAGAAGCTGTAGTTCCAGGCTCCTTTCCTGAGATCTGTAAGATTAAAAATTATGGACTGGAGCTGAGAGTCAGCTCAGCACTTGCTGCTCTCGTAGAGGACCTGCATTTGGTTCCGAGCACCCCAGTGTGGCTCACAGCTATCTGTACCTCCAGTTTCAGGGCTCCAGCGCCCTCTGCTGTGTCTACAGGTACTGCGCGCACATAGTGCACTTACAAACATGCAGACACCACGGAAACAAGGTCAAGAGTTAAAATTTACCTCTGCAAATAGGATGATTTATTTCTTCTTTTTAAAACATGTGCACAAGCCCACATGCAGAGGCCAGAGGACTACCTCAGCTGTCACCTTCAGGGATGATGTCCACCTCTTTTGAAAGGGTCTTTCATTGGCCTGGTGCTCACCAATTAGGCTAGGCTGGCTGGCCAGGAAGTTCTAGGAACCCTCCTATCTCTGCCTCCTCATCTCTGACATTACAAGCTGTACCTTCATGCCAGTCATTTTTACATAGGTTCTGAAGACTGAACTCGGGTCCTCATGCTTGTGAAACATGCTGACTGAGTTATCTTACCAGGCCAATTTCTTTTTAACTTTTAAAGGATAAGCAAGCAAAGTTTACTGAGAAGTAGAGAAACAGCTCTCCAAAATAGGATAGGTACTTTTAAAAAGTTGCGTAATAGCTGTCTTTTTTATGGCAAAAACAACAAATACTGGTAAGGACATGGCAGAAAGGAATCCTTATACACTGTTGTTGGGGATGTAAATTAGTCCAGCCAATATGGAAATTAGTACAAGGGTTCCTCAAAAAAAAAAAAAAAAAAAAAACAAAAAAAACACTAAACATAGAATTACCATATGACTGAAACATTCCTGGATATGAAGTACACATTTATCACAGCACTATTTCATGACAGCAAAGTTATGAATTAACTTGGATGCACATCAACAGATGAATGGATAAAGAAAATATGGCATATATACATAATAAAAATAGACCTTATTCATCCAGAGACTTTTAAAAATTGATCAGTGTTAATATCAATATCTACATTATAAATTAAAAATGAGTTGTATCTTTTAAAAAGAGGTTCCTTGTCAAAACATACCTATTTTTGTTTGTTTCAGACAAGGACTCATGTGGTTCAAACTAGCCTTTAATTCATTTTGTAGCAGAGGACAACCTGAACTCCTGATCCTCTTGCCTCTACTCCCAAGCACTGGGGTTACAGAGACAAAGTTCCTTCTGAAAAGATTGATTTCCTACAGCAATACACTCTGGCATACTACAGAAGCAGATGCAGAGAAGCTGCAGTCTTTCCCCATGGAGACAAGGACAGCCAGTGCATGCTGGGAACATCCATCAATTTTCCTAATCTTAAAATGTTATGTCCCAAGGCTGGGCATGGTGGTGCATACTTTTAATTGTAGCACTGCGGAGGTGAATGGCTGTTCAACACCATGTGGATGCTGGAACCTGAACCCCGTTCCTCTGTAAGAGCACCAAGAACGCTTAACCATGGCACCATCTCTCCACCCCCCGTAAAGCAAAGTTTAATGAAGATAAAAAGTTTTTCAAGCTAGGGGCGTAGAGTGCTAAAAATGCTTACTGTTCTTTAAGTTCTAAAATGTTTGCTGAGAATGTTAGTGTTGGAAAGATTTTAAAATTCCTTTAATTTACTGTACCAAGGCTAAAAAAATTCTCTGGGAAGGCAAATTCAATCTTAACAAAGGGGTTAGGTCAGGGGAACCCTTAAAAAATATTCTTTTCTACTCTCAGATACTTCCGTGAGGACAGCTGAGGTGTTCAAACTTTCTTTTCCATTGAGTACTGCCTGATCCTATACCTAACTAGGTGTTAATGGTCTTCAATAACTCTTTTAACTCTTGTGACAGCTTTCCTCTTGGGTCCAGTTTATCCACATGCATTCAAAAGACACAGCTTTCCCTGGCCTGTCAGTGCCCTGCTATGAACAGTACCCAGATAGAGCAGAAGAAATCTTAGGACTGTCACCTGCATTCACACAACTAAATTATGAAAGGGTGACTTACTGGGATATGTCACCTACTTTTTACTATGGTGACTTAAGTCTCATTTGGCAGCAGGTCAGTTTCTCCCTTCTTGCATGCATAGCCCACAGTTGTCTCTTCTTAAACATTTTAGTCCAGTGCTCTATATAAGCTCTGCACTCTAGTCATACAGGAAATGAGCTCTCATTTGGAGCATCCTCCAAGTCAGATCTCTGTAAGGTTTACATAAGATCTCAGAGAATCTTCACAACCATTTGTGTAATATACAATGGAAGGGTTCTCTTTAAATGTAACATTTCAAACTTTAGACATTAGCAAAGGGTAACTAAACAAAATAGCTGAATTATTCAGATTACCTGAACAGGAATTCCAGCATCCTCCACTAAATCTTTAATGGAGTCTACTTCAATAGTTAAACAATGAAGAGAATATGGCCTTATGGAGATCTTAACTACAGCACCCTGAAGAAGGTGCTAATATGTCCCAAAATGGATGAAAAAGTACAGAATGAGGTGAAAAGCAGTGCCACAGGAAACAGATTAAACCAATTCTGGACTGTTTATTTCATTTAGAAGGAAGGTTTACTAAAGTTGTTGTTTCATAATGTAGATCCACAGTGTGTTAACATTAAAAAACACGTATGGTAGACACACCTAATGTCCTAAAACTAGAGAGGATGAGGTAAGACGATAGAGTTCAAGGCCAGCCTTGGGTATATAGTAAGACTTTGTCTTTAAAAGAAAATAACAAAGCTCAAACCAAAAAGCACAGAATGGACAATATTGAAAATCCAGGCCACCTATTTCAGTGTCTTAAATATTAGTGTTTGTACCTACCTCCTTTGCACTCTTAATTTTGGTCAGAAATGTATGCAGTTCCATGGTTTCTGCAAACAGTGCTCGACATACTGCCTGATAATGATTTGGTGCCTCCGACTCACTTGGGAGATGAGCAGCACATACCTACAGAAGAAAAAAATGGGAGTTGGTTGTTACTGCATTTTAGGTACCATTAAAACAGACACACCCAGTCACCTGTAGTTTTTCTTTCAGATGAAAGATAAGTCCTGTCATCCAAGGTTGAATGTACCACAGAACCACAGATACAGTCCACACAATCATGTAGAAAAATGGTAAAGATTGGTAAAGAATACCTATCACCAAAGATATGCTAACTAGAATCAGCTATTTGGAAATGAGAGGACACACATGTAAAAGTTTTGCCTGAGGGAAGAAAAGGGTGGGGGGTGCTAAATATTCACAAAAGCTCAGGTATTTTAGCAGTGTCATAACTAGTTTCAGCTGTCAACCTGATATAACACTAACCTGGGAAAAGTTAACCTCAACTAAAGAATGGCCTTGATCAGATTGGCCTGTGGCCAAGTCTTACTTGTACCATTTTCTAACTTGTTGATTGCCTGGGAGGACATGGCCTACGACAGTGTCATCCCGAGGCATGTGTGTCTGGGTTGTACAAGAAAGCAGGCTAAGCAAGCCAGAGGGAGCAAGCCAGTAAGCAACATTCCTCCACGGTTTCTGCCCAGAATTCACTCAGCAATGAACTGTACCCTGTAAAATGAAGCAAACCCTTTCCTCTCCAAGCTGCATTTGGCCATGGTATTTATCACAGCAACAGAAAACAAACTAGGACAGCCAGTTGCCATTTTCTGAGCATTTATCATGTTATTATATACTGTCTTTGACAGGTCATATATTTAGCATAATACCATGCATTCTCCAACATAATCCTGAATCATCCCCAAAGTTAATGTTTGTTTTGTTCTACCACAGGAGAATCTAAACACACTTCTACCAGGTTCTGAAGCCACGCCTGTTCCACTTGTGATGCCTGGGGAAGTGGGTGGAGAGTGGAAAAGGAGGGCAGAGCTGGTGGAGTACTCAGGTGCTGCCTGTGGTCCTCATGTTCCAAGATGACTGTAAGAGATGCAACTTAACATGATACAAAGTGATTTGTTCTTGATTATCCTGCAAAGATATCCTCTTCAGATTCCAAAGAATAATGTCATGTTTCTATAAAACAACTATTACGTATCCATGTTCAATAGTCACACTTTAAAGTACTTCACTTGCAATGAAAAGCTGTTAGATATTAGAAATTAGATATTAATATAATTATTGAAAAATCTGTTATATTTTAACAACTTCTATGAAAGAATAAAAGAGAGCTGAGTAAGGTGAGTGCATGCCTATAATCAATCCTCTCGCTTTGGTAGGCAGAGAGAGGAAAATCAGGAATCCATGGTCATCTTCCGCTACACAGAAGGTTCAAGGCCCACCTGGGCTCCACGAATACGGTTTTATTAAATGAGTCAAAAGAAAATGTAGTGGTACACACCAACGATTCCAGCACTCCAGAGGCAGAGGCTCGAGCAACTCTGTGAGTTTAAGGCCAGCCTGGTCTACATAGTGAGTTCCAAGCCAGCCAAAGCTATATAACATGACCATCTCAAAACAAACAAAAAAAGAGTATCAAGAAGAAAAAAGGATATCAAGAGTCAGTAGACTAAAAGGTGTCAGTGGTAATGCTATTGCTTTTCATGTTTCTTAGGGTTTTTGTTTTGGTTTTTATTTTTTTGGTACCACAGTTCCTATGCTACTTTTCTTTTTTTTTTTTTTTTTTTTTTTTTGCTGTCACAAAGTACTAAAAAACAAAAAACCAAAGGACTGAGAATTAGGCTTCATTTAATCCATGCTCACTTGGTTCTGTTGGTTCTGAGCCTTTGTGTGGTGAGAGGCTGAAAACATTAGGAAAAGATGTGGCAGAGTACTGTGGCTCTATTATGATGGACAGGTGGTAGAGAGAGAGGATGGGCAGGGAGAACACTCTTCAAAGGTACCCACAAAGCCTTCTTCCTCCAATAAGGCCAATACAACTATGATCTCATCAGAGAACTAAGCCATTGATGAAGTTAGCACAGTACCTTTACAATTCAATCGCTTCTTAATAGCACCATCAGGTGGGGGCCAAGCCATAACAAGAGTCTTTGTGGGGTTATGCCATAATCAACTCAACAGTACTCTATTCAATTTCATAAAATGGGGATCAATCCAGTACCTGTGCTTGCTAGGCAAAAGCGCTACTCCTGAACTATATCCCCAACCCTAGAATGCATTTTGTAAGACAGCAATTCAGTATCAAATTGCATAAGATGTTCATCACAAGCAAACCAACAAAAACCACATCTATAAAGACTAACATACAGCTGGATGCTCTGGAGGATGAGCAAGACTTCTTCACTGCCAAACCACCTCTCAGGTCTAGAGCATATATTCTTTAGTCAAGGGGAACACAGTCTAAGTTTGTGTGCACAACTTATATGGCTTTAGAATCATCAGCAAAAGAGCCCCAGAATGAGTCAAGAAAATAATTACATGTGTGTGTTTATGCTTAGCCTGTGTACATTCCTTCTTTCCAATACAATCAAGAGGCATGAATAAAATATGAAGTGTTTGTGTTTGTTATAGATGCAGAGATCTTGATCACTAAAATGAAAACAAACTGACAAGATCCTACAAACCCTATCATTTGTATTATTGCAACTTAATCTCATGTTTCTACATTTAACAATAACAAAGCAATCATAGTTCGGTGAGATGATAGCTCAGCATGTAAAGGTGCTTTCTGCAGATGCCTGATGACCTAAGTTTGATCCTGGAACTCATGCAAAGGTAAAAGGTAAAAGCAAAGGTAAAAGCAGAAAACTGACTCTACAAAGTAACCCCCTGACCATCAAACATACACACGCGTGCATACACCCAAGCATATACACACTAATTAAGATTTTTAAGAAGAGAAAGAACATTCACATTTCCTCAGTTAATTCTTTGTCTTCTCTTTCAACAAAGCCAGGCAGTCATTGCTAACCAAACCATTACTGACTCACTGACCAGACTCATGTCTGCCTCTAATGTCATATACAATGGGTTTTATGATGTTTGTGTTTCAGATCTTCAAAACTTGTCACATGTCTAAGCAATTTTTCCCCATTCATTCGGTTGAAAAGAACATACAGGATATTTACAAAAATGGGAAATTTTAGGCAAGGTTGATTAACATGGAAACCAAAAAGCAAATAGTGAGGTTATGATATTCTCAAATAAAAGTCCCAAGAAGAGAACTGGTAAAGGTACGGAATGTCTTCAGTATACTTTTACTAATATATTTTTTTTCATAGGCATAGTGGCTCAAATCTAAAAATAATGGGTAAAATGAATTCAGTTCAAGTTTTAAGTGTCTAAGAACCTTTAAAAAAAAAAAGAAGAAGTCAATTTACGTAAAGCTGCTGAGTAAGAATGCTAAGACTCCACTCATCTTCTAAGCCTGTAATGTGAGAGCAGCCTGGAACTCATCAGTCATGGCGGCTGGCCGACTGTACAGACCACGGTCCCCGGTGTCCCTTCCTCCTCCTCTGTTCTTTGTACCAGTAGCCACAGTCAGAATGTAAATTTTGTTTCTTATGTAATACCTTCTATTATTCACATCTTACATCACTGTTTATTAGTGGTCTTTACAGAATTAGATCAATTTTGGTCTGCTGCCTCCAAATATGTTTATATTTTTAAGATTATTTCACTTTTGACTACCCTGTAGTAACTACATGCATTAATGGGGTTTGATATGATATTTCCACACAGGCATATGACCACAGTGACCAAATTCAATGTGCCTAACCTCTACTAAGCCTTTCTTTTCGGATCAGGTTTGCCTTCCCTTTACAGGCGGGGAAATGTACTAGTTCCCTTTATATGCAGCTTATTTCGCTTAGGCTACTATCCTTTTGTGTCTATTTAAAAAAAAAAAAACCCTTAACATCTAGAAAATCTAAAGCAAATATCTAAAATTTGTGTAAAGTTAATGTAAATGGCTACAACAGATTGTAACTCCAGTTCCAAGGCATCTGTTACCCACTTTACTCTTTCTATTAAAGGAATCTTCAAAAGGAAAAAAAAAAAAAAAGAAAAGAAAAAAAGGAATGGCAACTTGTATAATCTCCTCAGAGCCCTGAGAGCTGTTTCTCCTGAGAAATAGAGAGGCACCCAGGGATGCCAGCACAAAACAGGACTGAAACACACTGTGTTCATAGTGTTTTTCTACATTCTGCCTCTGGAAAGAAAATGAAAACCTAAGTGACATACATTAATCAAACAAACAAAAAACTAGTAAAGATTCTATCTAAATAACTCCAAACAGAGTATTACAAGGTTAATTTGTCAAATCTGTTCATTTTCATCTCTTTCATTTAGCCTTCAGGTAGGCAGCAAAACTGAACTAAAAAAAAAAACAAAAAACAAAAAACAAAACACACACACACACACACACACACACACACACACACAAAACAACTTCAATTTTATCATTATATGCAAATCCTATGGGAAGGTCAAAACCAGAAACCACAGATGAGTCAGCTGTGCCAGGCACAGCTCATTCTTCACGTACAGAACCCCCTTGCAGCTTCCATCTCCTTCACAGACAGGAAATGCAGAAGCCAGCATCATGCCCAGTCGGGCTGCTGTGACAGGAACATAACCAACATGTAACAGCTAGACGTGGCCAAGGGCTGTGGTCCAGCCAAAGGCCACAGCCAGGCTATAGAAAGTCTAGGAACTACTGTCAATGCTGAGATAGCAGCCATTCTCTTAAACTACGATGATGACTCACAGAGACGAACACTGAGTGGCTGTGGCTTTACCTTCATGACATCTTGATAGGACCGAATGGCTGAGATGCTTCTCCTGTCCGAGTCTTCATCTTCTGGGCCTTCATCTGCAGCCTCGTAGCCCTCATCATGACTTCCATCAGCCTCCACAGTATTGGCCATTTGGTCGATGAGCTGCTCTAAAGGAGGGCTCAGCTCCCTTTCTTCGTTTTCCTTCAAGCCATAGTCCAATGCTTTATAAATAATAATTCCCAGGGATTCAATAACCTAGGAGTATTAAACACAAGATGATAAATGAAGGGAACTCAAGATTCTAAGGACCAACTGTAATGTATAAAATGTTCAGTATTTCACACATAACTAACTAACTTGAGGAAAAATTTAAAAATTTTACCAACCCATGTATTAAAAAAACTTGAAACGGCAATTTTGGTGTGATTTTGTCATTAACCTAGCCTCAAAACCTTTGCACGCTTTCTTAGATTTATACTAGATGCTAAGATCAGTATTTCTCATCCATGAAAAAACAAACAAACAAACAAACAAGAAATACTAACCAAGCTGACTTGCTATATTGCCAAAATAATTTTATGCCAATGTTTAGAAACTTCATAGATACCCAAAGTATCTGAGACTGAAAATTCAGTTCTTAGTAGCACTTCACTTAAGCCCAAATAACTACAAATCTCTTCATACCAGTATGCAGTCTGCTCACTGGGTTCCACTCATTGGAAACACATCTCCCTCAAATGATACAAACAAATAGGAGTTGTTTCTTTTTTCTTTTTTCTTCTTCTTCTTCTTCTCCTCCTCCTCCTTCTTTTCTTTTTTTTTTTTTTTTTTTATCCAGATATTGCAATAAAGGACACAGATAATCCACCCACCACCCATCTCCACCAACAATACTTTCTGGCACTGTGAACCTGACTTGTGAATGGTGGGTCCATCACTGCTAAGCAGCACCCTGATGACTGCTCCGGATGTGCCAGTATGGGAGAATTCTAGAAGACTTCTCAGAATTGCATTCCTCACTTGCTCAATTATTTTACTTTATAAACCAAGAGCACTATTCATTTCACATTAGATATTTTTCCTTTAAAAAAGTATGGTTAATGACACCAAAGATTTAGAAATAAAAATACTGTCCCTTATCACTCATCATCTGGCTCAAGGAAAATTATTTTAGGTGACTTTTCTGTAAAATTTTACTAAAAATATTTTCATCCCATGAGACCTTGAGGTCACTGAATGTGCTGATTATGTATGAAAGCAGGATAGCACCTGAGTCATAAGAGGGTCTTAGTGAACACTATCTAGCTTTCCCCTCCTTCCCCTCCATTCACTTGTTTCTAATGATTATCCAGTTACCAACCTCAAAATTGCACAAAGAAACTTTATGTCCTTTATCCTACTTTTAGTCAATGATGTGATTTTTAAAAATAATATATACAAGTATTATTTTTAGCCCAATAGTTTTGAGATGAGTTAAACACAAAAACATCAACATTGTTATATACAATACACTGTAAAAGCATTCATATTTATTCAACAAACTCAACACAATCTACAAGCTATGTTACCAGAGAAAATAAGAATTTAAAATGAATATAATACTACCTACAATATTTTTAAATATTTATTTATTGTTTATACAGTGTTCTGCCTGCATATGTGGCTGCATGCAGAAGAGGGCACCAGATTTCACTATAGATAGTTATGAGCCACCATGTGGTTGCTGGGAATTGAACTCAGGACCTTTGGAAGTGAGCCATCTCTCCAGGCCACCTATTTAAAATTCTTAACCTCTAATTATGAAGCAATAAAACTTCCAGAAGTTCTTTTATTGTACAGAATCGTTTTAGCTATACTGGGTCTTAGGGCCCAAGGGCGGATACTTGAATCCCACTCAGAAGGGGAAATAGAACAGATATTGGAAGTGGATAAAGAGAGGGAACTAGGTGGGAGAGGGTGTGGGGAGGGGAACAAAGGTGCAGATTCAGATGTGGGGAGGGCAGAGATGGAAGGTAAGAAAGAGAGCAGGGAGAGAGAAGGGAAACCAAGGTGGGAGGACATCTCTGAGATAAGCTGGAGACCTACAACAGGGTAGGCTTCTGGGAGGATGTGGGCAGTGACTCCAGCTGAGACTCCTAGCTGCAGGGGATACAGAGACTGAAGGGGGCCACCTCCTAGCCAGGCAGGACTTCTAGTGGAGGGAGGGGACCAACCCACCCACAAAACCTTCAACCCAAAATCTAGCTACAGGACACTCTGCTATGCTTACAGACAGGAGCCTAACATAACTGTCCTCTGAGAGGCTCCACCCAGCAGCGAAACAAAATAGATGCTGAGACTCACAGCTAAACATTAGGTGAAGCTAGGGGAGTCATGTGGAGGAGAATAGGGAAGGGTAGTAGTCCTGGAGGGGACAAGAACCCCTCAAAAACCAACGATGTCAACTAATCTAGGCCCGTGGGGGCTCACAGAGACTAAAGCACCAACCAAAGAGCAGGAATAGACTGGACCTAGGCCCCTGCACATATACAACTAATGGGCAGCTCAGTCTTCATGGAGGTCCACTGGCAACAAGAGGAGCCTGAGTCCTACCGACATGGACTCGGTTGCCTGCTTTTGGATCACTTTCCCCTGGCTGGGCTGCCTTGCCTGGCCTCAGTGGAAGAGGGTGCACTAAGTTCCGATACAATTTGATGGGCCAGGGTGGGCTTGGGGGGGGGGGAACTCCCCTTTTCTGACAAGGGGGGAGGGCGAAAAGAATGGGAAGGTGGGGCCAGGAGGAGAGAAAGGAGGGGGCTATGATGGGAATATAAAATGAATAAATGAATAAATGTATAAAAATAAAATAGGATACAAAAGGTAGAATGATCACCGAATGCAAAAGAGGAGAAAAAAAAAGGGGTTAAAAATAGAAAATAAATGTGGAAAATGTTAATACAAGTTTATCAGCAATAATTCTGAGCATCAATAGTTTACATACTTCAAATATGTGTCTAAAAGTGAACTAAAAACCAGTATGTAGTATAAAAGAAACCCACTTGAAGTCATGAAGACAAATAAACTGAGCTAACAGCAATCTGAAACACAGGACCACTCCCTGACACTGCCCTGTGAATCTCTGGCTCATGCACAGATTGAGCTAGTTATGTTCATATCGTAATTCTCCAACTAGTCTAAGCTCCTTGAAAGCAAAACCCTCTACAGTTCATCTTCAAATTGCTTCATAAGCAGCAGGGTCTTAATGAACGAGTCAACAAGACATGAATTCGTCCCACCCCTGTGTGCATGGTTTCAAGTTTAGATACGGAACCAAGGTCATAGGGAGGACTACCTGTGTCACTTCAACTTCTGTCCTCCCAACTGACCACTGACTGGCTCCGAAACATCCTAGAGAAGCTCCTAGCCCAAAAGTGATCAGCATGTGGTCCACTTAAAACATTCCAGAACTGTTTGTCTTAAACCTGACTTATGACTTAGCCGGAGTAACAGGTAGCTCTAAAGGTAAGCCAGCCTCTTAGAGATGCACACAGCACAACACAGCTGGGCTTCATCAGACTGGCATGCACACCAGGTGGCTCTTCCCTTTGTTGAGAAAGAGGGATCTTGAATAATGTGTAACTAGTTCCTCAGTCTTGAGCTGAGGACAACAGGTGACCAGCAGAAACACTACTGAAAATATATTTGGACACCTATCTGGACATAGCTGCTCCCATAGACAATTACTTAAAACTAATTTTAGAAGAATACTGGCCAAATCAGGTGGCAGCATGAAAGGAGCTTAAAGATCTGGAGAGGTGGCTCCGTGGTTAAGAGTACGTACTACTTACTGCTCTTCAGAGGGCCTGAGCTTGATTCCAGAACCAAAACCCACATGAACGGCTCACAACCACCTGTAACTCCAACTCCACAGGGACTTAATGCCTCTGCCTCCACAGACACGAGCACTTTTTTTTTTTTGGGGGGGGGGGGAAGACAGGGATTCTCTTGTGTAGCTTTGATGTTCTAGACTCACTTTGTAGACCAGGCTGGCCCAGAACTCACAGAGACCCACTCTGCCTCAGCCTCCCAGAGTGCTGGGATTACAGGCATGCACCACCACACCCAGCTCATGAGCACTTATGTATATAAAATATACATAATATTAAATATTAATATTAAAAATAAATATTAAAAAATGAGTAAGAATGTGAACTTATCAAAGATAAAGTAGACGGCAATAGGTACATAAAAACAAGCTGTACACTGTATGATTTTCAAGGGAACTTCAAGTAAAAATGAGATACTACTACAGCACTTTATTAGAAAGACTGGTCCAAAAGCTGACAGCAGCCAAGTACTGACAAGATGTAGAATAATGGGAACTGTCTCCAGCCACCCCTGTTGTTCCCCTTGTGAGACAGGGTTTCACTATTATGCTCTGACTGGCCTCAAGCCACTGTTCTTCCTCAGACTCAGAAGTCGCTAAGACAACAAGTGTATACCAGCTTACCAGTTGTGACCAACAGGAACTCTTATTCATTAATGCTGGGAATGCAACATGGCATACTCTCCATGCCATGACCACAGTAGAGGGACTCTGGCCCAGCCTGGTGAACATGGTTCTGTTAGGCTTTGCTCTTCTCCCCAACTCCTCTGCCTTGCTAAAAAATGTTAGATCACATTCCTAAAGCTAGCCACCAAGTTCTAGTCCCTTAATTGGCTGTTTCCTCCCCCTGAGGCTGCCTGCCAAAGTCCAGCTATCAAAGTCCAGGAATCAAAAGCCCCCTTTGGCTTGCCTAATTAACATGCCCAATTAAAATTAAATACCTCATTCTAACATGAGGTTTCCCCTTTCACCTTTATAAACTACCATTTTACTATGGGCCATGCCTGTCTTCTCTGTCCAGAGGCTGTACTTTGTCCCACTCTGGGACAAACATCCCTGTTCCCTCTCCCTTATTCCCTCATCCTCTATCCCCTGTCTTTGTTTCTTATTCCCTGTCCTTTATCTCTCTGGGGCAAATAAATACCCTTTTTGCTGAGAACTTGGCCTTGAGGTGTCCTGGGTCCATACTTTTCCTTTCACACATTCAGCAGTTTCTTATAAAAGTAAACATTTTCTTACATATGATCCAGCAATTGTATTCAAGTAAGTTGAACATTTATGTTCAAATAAAAAAAAAAATCAAGACATGAGGTACTAACAGCAACTTTATTCACAATTGTCCAAACCACAGAAGTAACTAAGACTTCATTCGGTAAATAAGTGGATGAGT